TTTTTAGAGTCCGTTTTATATAGCTTAACCATACACAAAGGACCGCAAATAATTGCCCTATATTCCGCAAAAGTTACGATAAAGTTTAAAATTTGATACAGTCGTAGGGGTTACATGAGGAATCATTTGTACAAAATTTGTTTCAGGTTGGTCTACATTGTGATATAGCCCCCCTCAAATGATATAGCCCCTTTCAAATTCCTCAAATGTTGGTAATTTGAGATTTTAAAAATAAGAACAAATTCTTTCAAATAATTATAAGTATAGGACCATGCTTCATTTACTCCCTAAAAGACCTCTTCGCGGAAATTTTTCAATGTCAATGTTTCGGAGTAGCGCGCATGTAAAAGTACCTCCTGTTTTTACCTATTCCGAGGGTTTTGATTATATTTTAGAATCGATTTCACTTAATATTTGTGTTTAGGCTACTTTGGGGGTAGAGAACCATCTTACATGGGCCTATTATAAACAGTTAATACTTATACTTTTTAATATATATGCTATATTATTTAGGTTTTTAACTCTCAAACTAAAACTCTTACTGAAAAATAGGATCAAGTTATCATTTAAAAATTGTGCTACTTATGTGAGCACGATTTGTGAATTATTATGATAACGCGGACTGGGCCAACTAGTATATATCAACCAATTGTTGTGTTGTTGTTCGTTGGCAATTGAATCAGTTGAGAATGGCTGGGACGATTGGGATATTTTTTTTTAATGTTCGTTCTACCACGAGTAAGGTTTTTATGCAAAGAAAAAGTGACCCAATTTTACGTCCATTTTTCGATTTACCTAAAATCCTAATATTTGCCAAATAATGAAGATATCTGTTCCACAGTTACTATACAACGTAATCTTGACTCTCCTTTTAAGACTAGGTATCTGTATTGGTCAGAGGATCTATATGTGAAAAAATTTAAAAAAGTAAAGTAAAACTTTAGTTGAGGATGACTGGGCCGATTTAACTCATATTTTCTTTGTATTTACACTGGAAACGTTTTCAAGAAAGAAAATTTTGAGAAAATTTTCTAGAAAAATTGCAAAACTGAAATTAACTGTTCTATTTGAATATGGAATTTTCTGTAGAATTGTTTCAGAATGCCTTTTGGAATTGAAAATTCTTATTGAAAAAAACGAGAAATGTTGCATATTTTCTTTACATGCCGTTATATGGTTGCCATACCAAAATTTTCAATTTTGATTAAAAAATACTTCTCGAAACATCAAAAAATGTAAAAGCTCAACGTGCTCTTAATCTGTTATTGCCGGTATTGATTTCACAATACTCAAAACATTAAATGTCAAATTACAGATCATTCGGTAGAAATTGTAACATAATTTAATTGACAAAAATTTCTACTTTTTAACATAATTTATGGGGTCCCTAACTTTTATAAACCGATGATACCTTATTTATGATAATTAAATTAAAGTCATATTTCCAGGATTTCTATTTAGCAATTTCTATCGATCCTTAGGTCGGAAACTCCAAAAAATTGACTAGATATGGAAATAATCCATCCAATGCAAAATTCATTGGGACTGCAATCAGTGAACTGCCGAATATGAAGAGGCTATGTAAAATGCGTACTATACAAAATGGTGGAGCGAATTAAAAATTTAGTAAGAAAAGGATTCATATCATCGGAAAATTCTTGCGAACCCTTAAACGAACCCGTAACCTTAACTCATAGGTAACGTCATACGGGGACTATGTGCTATCGTCAGTAATTACACTGCGCCCTAGACCATCATGAGGTTGCGACATTTTTCGGTTGGTAGATAAAAGTCCCAAAAGTGGAGGTTCCCGGATCAAACTTGTTTAGGGTCCATTTTATGTATCTTAAACATACACAAAGGACATCAAATATTTTCCTCTATACTCCGCAAAAGTTAAGATAGAGTTTTAAATTGATGCAGTTCTATGGGTTACATAAAGAATCATTTGTACAAAATATGTTTCAGGTTGGACTGTATTGTGATATAGCCCCTTTTTATACCCTCCACCATACTATGGAGGGTATATTAATTTTGTCATTCCGTTTGTAACTCCTCGAAATATTCATGTCAGACCCAACAAAGTATATATATTCTTGATCAGCGTAAAATTCTAAGACGATTTAGCCATGTCCGTCTGTCTGTCTGTGTGTCTGTCTGTCTGTCTGTCTGTCCGTCTGTCTGTCTGTCTGTCTGTCTGTTGTAATCACGCTATCTTTCGAACAAATTGAGATAGAAGGCTAAAATTTTGCACACATGTATTTTTTCCCAGTAGGCAGGTTAAGTTCGTAAATGGGCCATGTAGGTCCAAGTTATCATATAGCCCCCATATAACGGTACCTCCCGATATTCGGTATTTTGATGATTTTAGCGACATTATTCACCGGAATTATTTCAAATTTGGCATTTGAAGTTTGTAATGGATGCTACAGGCTAAGACAGAAAATTATCTGTGCAGGTCCACGTCTTCCTGTAGCCCCCATATAACGGTACCCCCCGATATTCGGTTTTTTGATGATTTTAGCGACATTGTTTACCGAAATCGTTTCAAATTTGGTATTTGAAGTTCGTAATGGATACTACATCCTAAATCAAAAAATGAGCCATGTAGGTCCACGTCTTCATATAGCCCCCATATAACGGTACCCCCCGATATTCGGTATTTTAATGATTTTAGCGACATTATTTACAGGGATTGTTTCAAATTTCGTATGTGAAGTTCGTAATGGATACTTCAGCCCATGCCAGAAAATTGTCTGTGCAGGTCCACGTCTTCGTATAGCCCCCATATAACGGTACCCCCCATATTCGGTATTTTGACGATTTTAGCTACATTATAAACAGATTTTTCTTCAAGTTTCGCATTTAAATATTGTAATAATTTATGACAAAAGTTGCCTATGCAGGCCCACGTCGTCGTATAAGCATTCGGTATTTTTAAGATTTTAACAGAATTTTTAACGGTTTTTTTTTTTTTTTGGAAATTGCCAAATTTGTACCAAATGGTGGAGGGTATTAAAAGTTCGGCCCGGCCGAACTTACAGCTTTTTTACCTGTTAACTTTACCTTTTTTATACCCTCCACCATACTATGGAGGGTATATTAATTTTGTCATTCCGTTTGTAACTCCTCGAAATATTCATGTCAGACCCAACAAAGTATATATATTTTTGATCAGCGTAAAATTCTAAGACGATTTAGCTATGTCCGTCTGTCTGTCTGTGTGTCTGTCTGTCTGTCTGTCTGTCTGTTGTAATCACGCTATCTTTCGAACAAATTGAGATAGAAGGCTAAAATTTTGCACACATGTATATTTTCCCAGTAGGCAGGTTAAGTTCGTAAATGGGCCATGTAGGTCCAAGTTATTATATAGCCCCCATATAACGGTACCTCCCGATATTCGGTATTTTGATGATTTTAGCGACATTATTCACCGGAATTATTTCAATTTTGGTATTTGAAGTTCGTAATGGATACTACAGCTTAAGACAGAAAATTATCTGTGCAGGTCCACGTCTTCATATAGCCCCCACATAACGGTACCCCCGATATTCGGTATTTTGATGATTTTAGCGACATTGTTTATCGGAATCGTTTCAAATTTGGTATTTGAAGTTCGTAATGGATACTTCATCTAAAGACAAAAAATGAGCCATGTAGGTCCACGTCTTCATATAGCCCCCATATAACAGTACGCCCCGATATTCGGTATTTTAATGATTTTAGCGACATTATTTACAGGGATTGTTTCAAATTTCGCATGTGAAGTTCGTAATGGATACTTCAGCCCATGCCAGAAAATTGTCTGTGCAGGTCCACGTCTTCGTATAGCCCCCATATAACGGTACCCCCCATATTCGGTATTTTGACGATTTTAGCTACATTATAAACAGATTTTTCTTCAAGTTTCGCATTTAAATATTGTAATAATTTATGACAAAAGTTGCCTATGCAGGCCCACGTCGTCGTATAAGCATTCGGTATTTTTAAGATTTTAACTGAATTTTTAACGTTTTTTTTTTTTGGAAATTGCCAAATTTGTACCAACTGGTGGAGGGTATTAAAAGTTCGGCCCGGCCGAACTTACAGTTTTTTAACTTGTTAATTCCTAAAATGTTGGTAATTTGAAATTTTAGAAAGAAGAAAACATTCTTTCATATAATTATAAGTATAGGACCAAGCTTTGGTATGACCCTCATATGAAGGCATCCGCTAATTTCAACTATTTCCAGGCTCTTGCTCACATTCTATGTCACCTCTTCGCGGAAAATTTTCAATGTCAATGTTTTGGAGTAGCGCCCATATAAAGGTACCCCCTGATTTTACCTATTCCGGGTTTTGATTATATTTTCAAATCGATTTGCCTTAGAATGTGTGTTTAGGCTCCATTGGGGGTGGAGAACCATCTTACATGGGACTATTACAAACAGCTGATGTATACTGTTTAATATATTTGCTATATTCTTTGGGTTTCCAACTCTCAAATTAAAACACCTGGCTGGAAAATAGGATAAGGTTTCTTGAAACACTAAATCGCCCGGATTGAACCTATATTGACATTGCCTGACTATTTTAAAATAACAAAATAATTACGCCATATATTATAAACGCCATAATTTGCTACTTATAAATACGTATGTAATTCCATGTTCAAAAAGTGGGTGTTGTTCTTTGTCAAGAAATTCTTGTTATTTCGCTTCAATTTATGCTTTGATGTCATCTTCGATGTTCGTAGAAGAAAATTTGAGTTTTGTTTTTGTCACATTACGGCTGCTTGATTTTATAGGCAACATAGATAAACGTTTCCCAAATAGGCAATAAAATATCAAGTCCAATGAAAGCATTTCTATGTCACTGTTACGCCATAATACACCAATTAACAAAAGTTTTACGAAGGTGTGTTTCTTTACAAAGCGCAAGTAATTTGTTAATCTCATTAAAAAACGAATGCTGCTTTTGAATCGTTTCAAAGTAATATAAAATGTAGTTTCCGTTTGATGAATTGCTCAGTTATAAATTATCCGCGTTTTTAAACACACGTAGAAAAGCATATAAAAGAATGTCTTACATTGGAAATATATCCGATATAGAATGTGAAAAAAGTGAAAGTAATCGAATTCGTACTTCGAATTTGGTAACTAAGGCTCAAGCTAATAAATTGTCTTCTGAACCAAAATGGACTACCAAAAGAGGTCCTGATTCCGATTCTGAAGTATCGACTACTGACAATTTTTTGACAAAAGGTATAAATACAAAACATTTGTTGCTCCAAAATGTGGTATGTTTAATGTATATGTGTATTTTGGTTTCAATTGGGATGATTTTTTAAGAGTTCCTTTAAACCTTGCAAGATTCGTACCTGCAGCTAACAAATATTCAATCAAATTAATTATATAGTAGCATTAAAATTTGCAATTTTGGAGTTCTCATTTTGCATTTTTAATGAAATAACGTAAATTCCAAAGAAAGGCAAATTTTTGTAATTAAAATAGTTTATCGAATATTTGTTGTTTTGTTTACATTTTTGGAGATATAACTCCGACACTAGCATTGCATATAATAAAAATATCTTGTTTTTGTTGTCTTTGGTATTCGTTGTTACAATTGCATTTTATTTTTTCAATTGTATGGCTTACCCTCTGAAACTATTATTTTTTAAATAAATTTTCATTGTTTACTAAGTATTCAAATTTAGTTGTAGCAAAAATGCGTATTACAACTTATGAATAGACAAAATGTACATGATTTAAAGGAAATTTTGATCTTTTATTAAGTTTGTAAAGATGGGACAAAATGCATATTGTCATTTAGAATATCCATTTGGCAATAGATAGTCGACGACATGACATAAATGCATTGGCAATTATTATTACAGAAATATTTTGTTCTTATATCGCGAAAAACTCGGATCAAAAATCAATTCGAGAGCATTTCTGTGTACTTTTAATCGATCAAATTACAATATAATGCTATATCATGATATGGCGATATGACATATTTTCCGACTACGTACGCCATCTATCTCTCTCATTACATTATATCTATCTGATAAAAATCAGCCCCTATAAGACTATAACATATTGCTATGTAATGTAATATATATGGTAATATGGTGAAACAACATATTTTTCTACTTTTATCGCCATCTATATTATAAAAGCAACAATGAAATGTCTTCTGGGAATACTCATGATAGACCCTACAAAGTATATATATTCTGGATCAGTCGATTTAGCGATGTCCGTCTATATGGCTGTTGTAATCACGCTTTCATTCAAACGAATTGAGATAAAAGGCTAAAATTTTAAACACGTTTGTATTTTGCAAGGAGGCAGTTTATAATGGGCCCTGTCGTCCAATTTTTAGTATAGCTCATATGTAACGGTACCTCCCGATATTCGATATTTTGATGATTTTAGCGACATTCACCAGAATTATTTCAAATTTCGTATTTAAAGATTTTAATATGTTCTACAACCTATGACAAAAAATTACATATGCAAGCTTACGTCCCGGTATACCCCCATAAAACGGTGCCTCCCAGTATTCGGTATTTTGATGATTTTAGCGACATTATTCACCGAAATTGTTTCAACTGTTTTTCTTAAAGTTCGGAATCGGTACTACAGCATACGACAAATTTACGTTCAAAATTACTCATGCATTTCCAAGTATTCTATTATTAGTAACATTAATGTTACTATTAGTAACATTAATGTTACTATTAGTAACATTAATAGTTTTCTGTCAGCGTTATTGAGTATTTTGCATTCGAAATGGTGGATATGTTAATTTATGTTTTTTAGAACTGCGTGTTAGTGAATTGTTCAACAAAGGCCTAATAATTCCATTTTAATATTTTAAGGTGCCTTTCTTTTGACACCCTCATACGAATTGTCTATGGAACGTGCTGCTCAAATTTGCGAGAAAATTACATTCAAGGGCTGCTTTAGTTTGACAAAAACAGCCAGTGGCATCCTATTTAAGTTCTCTCATCCCGACGATTTTCAAGCAGTATACAAGAAGGGCTTTCACAAAGTCACTGGTGCACGATTTTATCGCAAAGTAAGAATAAATATACACAATATACAAATTTGTATTCCATTTTACAATTATTTAGAAATAATAAAATAGCAAAATTAGTGAAGTTTTTGTATCTTAAGTGAGCATTATATGTTATTTTACCTTTCGCCAGATAGCAATACCATGTCGACCACGAAAGACTTTCACCCTATTTGTTCTAGATGTTCCAGAAGATTTGCCAGTGGAAGATATAAGACATGCGTTGTATAAGTTCGATTCCGTTGTCGAAGTAGTTCGTTTGCATTTATATCACCAGACGAGTTCTTCCTTATCTCCAGATAAGAACATTGAAGGTACATAAGGATTCAAATCAAATCTGGAATGCAAAAAATAATATATTTGTCATTTATTAGGAGCTTCACCGCCAACAAAGGGGGAGGGATCTGAGAAAAACGAGCGCACAGAACGCAAAGAATTACCTCCTGCTGTTATTCGCATTACATTAGCATCTATGGATGAATACAATATTCTTGTGCAAAACGGGCTAAATTTTTACGATGCTACATTTTTTCCAACTGAGACTAATATCTCATTAAAGGGCGCAAAAATAGAAAACCGTAGAAGGTATGTATATGATTCAATTTTTTTATGTACATATGTTTATTTTCATTTTAAATATATTAATAACGACAGAATGATGGATGGAAGTGTTTCCGGTCGTGTACGTGAGCTTCTCCCAGTTTTCGATGCCGCTGGCTTTTGTAAATTACCTCCACCGACGCGAAAAGTTATTAAGCCTCCAAGGTCATAAGCCATAACAGACATATTTGTAATGTGACATGCATAACTGGTACTAACCATCCATATATGGAAACCTTATAAGTGTCGTATCGTAATATTGTAGCGAACGGAAAGAAAATTAATTGAGTTGTTTATTTTGTATTTTATTCTTTCAAATTCAAAGCTATTAGTTGACTGAGCTTTTATAAAATAAATAAAAAATAAAACCACGATATTTATCACTAAATGAAAAAAATGCTCATAAAGTATTTTCGCAGTTTACGCATTTTAACATTCTATCTTGTTTTGATTAAAACTAAATAAAAGTAGTTCCAAAACTATTTTTTTTATTATTATTATTATTATTTTTTTTTTTTTTTTTTTTGAATGCCGATTTGCTTTAAATTGTCCCACAATATATTCAGTCCGGCACTGACTACGACCACCGACTTTAGTTTTTGAAAAAATGTTTTTTGTCATAGAAGTTATTTTTAAAATAACTTCTGGGGAGTATATCCCAGACAAAAAACAAGGGAACTGATGAGAATTGGTGGCTCTTTCCGAAACCTAGGTATTCCATGCCTTACCCCCTGGTAAACATTACCATCGTTCTCCACTAATAAAAAAACGTTATTTTTATAAAAACAACAATAAAGGGATTAAGCCTGACCATTTTGCAACAACGAAATAATTTTTCAATAATCATATTATTATACTCCTCTATAAGATCCTAAATTCTAAATTGATTTTGAAGAATATTAATTACTTATTTCGAGTGGCAGGCCTGGTACAAATAATATGTTGGTATTTTTAATTACTTGTGACTGCAAATATGGTTAAGTAAACTCATTTTTTGGCATTGAAGTTTTCGTTGTAATTCATTACTCTAAAAGGAACAGAATTTAATATAAATGAATGAAGTAGGCATTTGTCGAGCTCCTAAGATGATGATCTAGTAAAAACTACCACTACCAAATAATGGAATAAATAAGTAAATAAGAATAAACACACCACACATCCATAAGTTATTGTATTTTATTGGGTTTTTCTTTGATTGCCAACGGCAAATCTCGAAATCACAACTTTTCGAGGTTTTAGTCTACTTTTAATAGTTTTACAAAAGTACTCATTCAAGTATCATCCAAAAATCGACAACTTAAGCACAATTCGTCACATGATCGTGAACAAGAGAATTTAAGGAATTGTGTAAGAATTGTGAAGAATCAGAAACAATGAGTATTCAATAAGAGAATGCGTGAAATGTGTAGGTTGTGCATAACTTGCTGTTCCATTGTCTGACACATATTTAAAACCCGTATATTCCGTATACACGTGTTCACATTAAAGTTGCCTATTATAGGACTCTTTGAGTAACGAACAGTTATATCTGCGAACATGTCTTCAGCCACAGAAACTTTATCATAAGGCAGATAACCAAGCCTAACTATATTGTTCTCAGCAGATGATGATTCCAATACAACAAAAAATTGCCTCACACCATCTTCCATATAAACTCACACCACAACTACGTCTATGAACCCCGTCTGGTCTACATAATTTTCCTCCATTTACTTCAACGACACTACTCAAAACGAAACTTCTCAACCAATATTCGGAAATGGTCTATATACCCAACCGACTCCCTTCACATATATGTCAATTTTATCCAACTTTTTATTGAAGTATGCTTGACAATGATTCAGTGTCAAATTACCATTCGAGATATTCCATTGTTCAGTTTGTATTTCACCATTTTAGCTACACGTAAACACAAAAATATTATATCACAAGTATATAAAAACACCTCATATATAATGATCGTTGTTGTTATTTCTGTTATTGTTATGAATACTTCCTGTATCTAACATACGAATTCTATAACATTTCTTCAACTGACTGTCAATATCCTTTTACCTTACCGTTCAATATTACTATAGTATATACTATACTTCAACATATTAATATCATTCTTAAGTCCAACCCATTTTTACGTCTTAAAAATACAACAAACATTGCATTAATGTATCTTATTAACTTAGTTATGTTTAGGATAAATAATTATTTTTAATTTAAAGAGAATATAACCGGTTTGGTGGTAAAGACTAGACAAAATGCATTTTGAAAAGATGGTAAAACTTGACAGAATACAAAGACAAAAAAGTATAAACTTTGAACAAAATCCATAGAAAGCCGAAGTCATGTAAAAAATGCTTTGGAAATATTACAGAAATATGTTTTTCCGAAATAGTTACAACCAGCGCCATCTACAGATTTAAAGCATAACATTATATGTGTTTTTATGTTGAGTGATACAGAAAATATAAGCTTTTATAGCACAATTAAGATTATAAATAATTCGCAACTCCTACAAGTATACTTCAGTGAAGCTTATTGAGTGAAATAATATTTAATTATGTACAAATTTTATGTTGCATTAAACCTTTTCTTAGGAAAAGATTTTAGTTAAAAAATATAATAAAGAAAACACAAGACTATAATAAACAGTCACAGTTTTCTCAAAATAATTTAATTTAAGAGACAAAATCATCAGAATTTTAAAATATTTCAAATTATTTTGTTTAGTATTCAAAACAATGCAAACAGATACAGGTGATTGTTATGCGACATGGTAAATTATTTTTTAAATTTCCTTTTATCAATTGCATTCGATTTTGTAATGATTGCTTATTCTTCCATAAATCAGAAAATTACATCTGCCAAATTTATTTATTTATTTTTTTATTTTACAGTTTATGTTAACTTGCCTATGTGTTGATCAATTTCCCCTTAGTTTTAGTTTCCTAGTTATATTTCTGTTGGAACTCGGATAGATATTTTATATTTTTTGCATTATTTCATGTTTAAAGTCATACCAAATGGAGGAATTACATTAAGTTTTATTGAGAAAATATCTGAGAAGGTGGGTAAGGTCGCGATGGAAAAAGTTGAGCTGGGCAAGTATGATGCATTCAAATGGTAGGTAAAATGGACTAGATAAGAACTAATGGATTTTCTTATCTAGTCCATTTCAGCTTCAATTACTAATAAAACAGGTTAGGCGTGGTATGTTGAACAGAGTCTAAACTTGGAAGAATTACATTAAGTTTTATTGGGAAAATATCTGAGAAGGTGGGTAAGGATGGGAAGGTATAAGTTGGATTGGGCAAGAATGATCCAATAGAAACATCATTAGAGGTCCCTGGTACGTGTGCATGAATATGTTTGTAGGATTTCGTTGGTAAAGCTCGTGATTAGTCGTATTATCTATTTAGTGACGTTTGTTTTAGATTTATTATTAAGGATTTATTTCCGTATATCATTTACATTTCTTATACAATGGCATTGTGGAACCTCTTTTATGTTGTGTCTTCTGCATTTTTTACTCCCTAGTTTGCTGCATTGTCATTATATGGCTTAACTTTGAAATGAAAAATTGCTGACTTTATACACGGCCTTCTTACGTCGTAAAAATACATCAACAAATGTAAATGTATATTATTAAGTAATGTATGTTTAGAATAAAGAATTATTTTCAATTATAACCGATTTTTCGATCAGACAATAGATGGCCGACGGCATGTAAAATATGCATTGAAAATATTACAGAAATATGTTTTTCTAAAAACGAGAAAAATACAGAAAACCGCGTAGAAAAGCAAGAGATGGTCTTAAAACACTAATCCATATTCCACTATAAAATCCGTACTAATCCATACTATCTATAAAAGATAAAAATGTTTGTACGTTTGATTGTTTGTAATTTATGGACTCGAAAACCGCTAAACAGATTTTCCTGAAAATATCCAAGATACTTCAACATCACCTGAAAGTAACATAGGTTATATAAATAAATTTTGAATTTCCACTTGAAACAGGAGGTAAAGCATCAGAATCGAAGGTAACTCTAAAAACTTAAATTCGAAATGCACATATCTTTTGATCTATGACAGATACGAATTTGGAATGTGTAACGGAATTTGGAACAAAAATAAATTTACCGAATTACATTGAAATCGGTTCATATTTGGATATAGCTCCCATATACATTTTCTGGTGATTTCATGTATTTGATGCATCATACACGCTATGTATCTCCAATTTCAATGAAATTTAGAATGTGTAATGGAATGTGGTCTTCAACATTTTTTAGTCAAATTATATTGAAATCGGTTCAGATTTGGATATGGCTCCCATATACATTTTCTGGTGATTTCATGTATTTGATGCATCTTACACACTATGTATCTCCAATTTCAATGAAATTTAGAATGTGTAATGGAATGTGGTCTTCAAAATTTATTTGCCAAATTATATTGAAATCGGTTCAGATTTGGATATGGCTCCCATATACATTTTCTGGTGATTTTATGTATTTGATGCACCAAGCACGCAATATATCTCTAATTTCAATGAAATTTGGAATGTGCAACGAAATTTGAAACGAACATATATTTGCCGGATTTTATTGAAATCGGTTCAGATTTGGATACAGCTCCCATATGTATTTTCCGTCGATTTCATATACTTGATGCATCAAAGACGATTTGTATTTCCATTTTCAGTGAAATTTGGAAAGTTTAGCTGAATAAATAAATAAAAATAAACTTATATTGAAATCGGTACGTATTTGGATATAGTTCCTTTACAAAATTTTCACCTGATTTCGTGTATTTGATGCACCAAACACGCTATGTATGTCAAATTTCAATGAAGTTTGGAATGTGTGACAGAATTTGGCTAAATAGGCTAACAGTAAAAAAATAACTAAACGACAACTAAATTGAGGCTACGATTATTACTTGGAAGTATGTAAGTTGATATGTATTGCTACCTAGAATCCCTCCAAACTCTTCGTGCGGACTAAATTTAGCATGTTCCTACTTTTCTCATGATCAGCTGTATGTGGAATGTTCACGTCAGGGCAGAACTATCGATTTGTTTACGCTCCTGAAGGAAAAAAAAATAAATCCTTAAATTTGTTTTATTTTGTTAGTATATAAAATTTTGAATGCATATAAGGGGGAAGCGCAGCGGGTTCAACTGGTACCCTCCTTGGATTATATCATAATGCTATGTAACGACATGGCGACTTAACATAATTTTCTAATATCAGCGCCATCTATTGATTTAAAGAAACAATGAAATTTAACATTATTATATGGCTTCGTTTATTGAGTGATACAGAAAAAATACTTAAAAATACTTAAAAAATAATACTTTATAGTCAAATGAAGATATTAGATAGCTCATAACGCCTTTAAGTATGCCTTAGTAAAGCTTATTGAGTGGCATTTATATCTATAAAAGAGGAAAATGTTAGTTCGTTTGTTTGTATTTATGG